GTTGTGGGGACTCCTGGCCAAAATCCACAGCAGAAGACAGAACAGGTAGTAGATACATCATGTCCAGACAGAGAAGTTTGGAGGTGACCACTCCAGAGAGTCCTTGGAAGGGATCCAAAGGCTGAGTGAGGATGAGGGAGGGCCCAGACCTTGGGGTAGAACAGCATCCCCCAGGGACTTTTCTCATCTACAGGCATCACAAGACTCTCAGGGCAGGTTCAGGGGTTGAACAACAGAAGAAGGCAGGCGAGAGACAGAGAGTCCAAAGCCCAGGCCTTCCTCTAGCCTCCACACCACCAGTCCATCCCCATCCCGTTTCCCCATTTGCTCAGGAAAACTGATGAAGAGTGGACCTGACCTTCCCTGGCAGCCACAGTCCCCTCCTCTCCAGGCTGCAAAACAGGTGCATGCATGAATCCCTCTGGTTGATCCCCGGGGGGGGGGGGGGGAGGGAGACACACATATTTACCTAACTTTTCCTTCTCTCCAGACCTGGAGTTTCTGCAGGTGGAGAAGAAATGCCCCATTCTTCACAACCTACAGGTCTGTTTCCTTGGGCTCCTACACAGTCAAGATCCCAGCCTTCCCCTGGCCAACTGTGTAACCTGCGACAAGATCCTGCCACTCTCTGAGCTTTGAGGGGATTTCTAAGGTTCACTGGGTACTGACCAGCTAACCCTCAGCCCAAATGAGTCTCACTTCACTATCACCCTGCTGCCTGACACCTGTAGGTGCCACCACGTCTCCAAGTTTTGCATGTGTGGAGATCCCTGCCTGGATACCTCCCACCAGCTTCGCAGGCTGATCATCCCTCATCCTGTTTCTTTCACTATCTGGCAGACTACTGGAGGCTCCAAGGCTGGGCTAGGTACTTCCTCCACTCATAGCCCCAGCAACTGGGCCACAACATGTGCACAGTGTGCTTCCATCTCCCCTGCTCCAGATGGTGGGGTCCGTGGTTGCTGCTGTGTCCCAATACCAGGCCCACAAAGATGCCTCTGTAAATACCTGAGCAACGTGAGTGGTGCTGATGGGCAGGACCCACAAGGATGCAGCACAGTGGAAAGGGATGAGGGCTGTTGAGCCATGTGACTGCCATGTTCTGCGACCTTAGGCAATGTATTTCACCACAAAGTCTTGGTCTTCCCAATCCCTAACAGGGGATAATAGTCACCAAGGCTACCCCACAGGATTCTTTTAAGAATGAAGTGAAATGATCACAGAAAGGGTATGGCATGTTGGAAACCTCTGACAAGGTGTTTGGAAGTTCCTGAAAAACAGCCTTTGGGGACAGGCCAAGGAGATGAAGGGAGAAGTCTGATGTATCGACCCACTATTCTCCAGCCACATCAGGCTCCAGCCTGGTCCTTGAAAAATGCCAGGCTCCTGCCCACCACAGGACCTTTACACTTGCTCTTCCCTCCATCTGGCATGCCTTTCCCACCATTCATCTCATGCTCCACTCAAATGCCACCTTCTCAGGGAGGCTTTCCCAGGTCCCTTAGGCATGATACTGGAACTTAATACCTTCACAGTCTGTGTCACTACCTGCACTTACAATATGTGTTTAGTTACTTGTCATCCATCTTCCCTTCTAGAATACCTTTGCCCAGAGGGCAGGAACTCTGGCCTCTTTTGTTAATAGCTGTTTTCCCAGCACCCAGAACAGAGCCTGGCACATAGTAGGTGCTCAGTATTTAATGCATTAATAACAAATCTTGAGATGGGGACAAAGTGAGATACCCTTTTGCAGGGCAAACCAATGCACCAAGGGGTGGCAGGCATCCCCGACTCCCCAGTCTTTCCCTAGCCACTAGAGGGCACAAGCTGTTTTGGCCCATGGCTCTGGAGCAAGAATTCCCAAGACTGAAAAGAGGACCTGAGAAAGACTGATGGGAATGAGGTGCACCTGGGGAACAGGTATGCTTGAGGCAGGCTGCTCAGGATGCCAAGATGGGCATCTGGGTCCAGTTAGTTCTGGCTCAGAGGTGGGAGCCAGGCCAACCTGAGTTTGAGTCCTAGCTCCTTGCCACCTAACGGGGGGGGGGGGGGGTCTTGGTTTTCACAATTCTAAAATGGGAAACTAGAGTGCAAAGAGAAGGCTCTGGACTTCCAACTCAGACCCTGCTGTGCTATGTAACCCGGATCTCTCTGAACTTTGGGGAACAGGCTGAATGTTCCTTCAGGGCCACAGGGCCCACCTTCTTACCAGAAATGCCACCTCTGCCATCCAGAATGTCCCGGGGGCCTTCTTTGGTGATAGGCAGGTAACGGGTAGACCGGAAGATGCTACCTTCCCCTTCAGCAGCCTCGGCCCCACCCTCGATGTCCTCCCTCGGAGCTGGGCCAGGCAGTCTCTCTGGGCCTCGAGGACGATCTGGGGCGGCCAGGCCACCTGCCAGGGGCCCCTCCATGGGTGCTCTCTGCTTGACTCCTCTCAGTGCTGGATTGGCTCAGCGGGTCATTGTGGGTCTGGAGACAGAGAGGGGGCAATGCTTAGCAGAGGTAAGAAAAGGACTTCTCAGTTTTTTCTCCCTCAAAACTCTAATCCTTACCCTTGTAGTTCATTCCCTCAGTTTACCTCCCAGTCCAAGTGGGCTAGATAAATGGTGCTGAGGTCCCATCCTTACATATTATATTCCAATGACCCCTTCTAGCAGCATGCCTCCATCTCCCACGGATAACCCCTTTATTTACTGAGATCCTTTACTGCCTCAGTTTACCCCATTTTTACACTGCACACCCAGCCACCTTATTTTCTTCCATCATGAATCCTATCACTTTTCTCAGATTCCTCTGTCCATTCACAGACAGCTTCACCTTAGCCAGTCGCACCCTGGCTTCTCTGCACGTGCACACCGTATGGCCATGCCTGTTTCCTCACATCCCAGCCACTTCCATATTCTGACCCTATACACTTACTTAAGTCCCCCCATCATTACCCTTTTACTTTTCTCACTTGGGTTGCCCATATCAATTACCCATGCACTTTTCCCACACTCCAACCCTCCCCCGAAAGACCTTAGGGTTCTCCAGCGTTAACCCCTTCACACCCACATACAGCCTCAAGTGACCCTACCAATTAACCCTTTTGCTTCTCACCAGCATGATCCCTCACGCATACCCAGCCTGGGTTCCTCCATTCCCCACCCTCCACCAAGAATGCTCTGGTCCGAGGCCAAAAGGGACCCCTGGGGCTTCTGGTCCAGAAACGAGGACCCCAGGGAAAGGGGGCTGTCTCTCCACCTATAAATACCTTCAAGGTAACGGCAGAAAGTGAAGGGCAGGAATGAGGCGCCCTCCCCAGGGAGATGGTGGGGAGGCCGGGCCCAGGCAACCGGGGCGGGGCCGGGGCTCCAGGCCTGGTTGCAGGCGCTGACCTCAGGGGGCCTGGGGCTCCCAGGGGGCCTGTCGGTGGGCTGGCAGTCTTGGTGGGGGTTCCTGGCCAGGCCTGGAGGAAGCACCTGCAGGTGCCCACCGGGTGGGCACTGCCCGCGGGGAACAGGCTGGACCGCAACTTCGGAGCACTTTGGCAGCTTGGGGAGGGGGCTCCTGGCCAGACGCCCCCAGAGGGCCGCAGAGACGGGGGCTGCGCCGCGCTGGCGCACCCCTTGGGGGTCCTGGGTCCCGGGGATGCGCGCTTCGCCCGTGCACCCCGGGGCGGGAGACCCCGCGGGGCCGCCGAGGTAGGGGGAGACACCTGCCTGCCCCAAGACCCCCGCCCCTCCCCCCACCTGCACGGCCCCGCCCCCGATCAGGCCCCGCCCCTGCAGGCCCCGCCCCGCCCCCCGCCCTGGGGGGTCCCGCCTGGCCCGGCCCGGCCCAGGCCTCCCCCTCCCCGCTCCGGCTCCGCCCCGCCCTCGGGCTCCCCAGGCCCAGTCGGGCCTCACCGAGGAGGCGGTGCCGCCGGCCGGGTGCCGGGGCTTGGAGCTCCCCTCCTTGGTGCGGTCCTCCGCACCGCTACCGCTGCTGCCGCTCCCGGTGCCGGTGCCGCGGCCTCCGCAGCCGCCGCCGCCTCCACCGCTCGGGGGACATTGTCCCTTTAAATCGCTCCCCCCGCTGCCCCGCCCCCCCGGCGCGCAGCCGTGACCTCAGCGCGACAGCCCCGCCGCGCCGCCATGATGGGGAGGTCTGGGGAGCCCCCACCACCCCCACCACCCCCCACCGCGCGCCGCCCGGCTGGGGGGCGGGGGGGCGGCCAGCGGGCGCGCAGCCATGTTGGGAGTGTCCAAGCAGGTCACCCTTAAAGGGCCCGCGCGACCTCAGTGTCCAGGGAGAGGCTCTGTTACCATGACAACCCCCTTGTCCTCGCCCCCAATGGCTCCCATCACCCCGCTGGTCCTTCCAAAGCTAGGTTTGCTAATAGCACCAGAGGAGTGGGAAGGGGGCAGAGAAGTTCCTCCATGGGTCATTCATAGGTCATTGAGAACTCCACCCAATCCTTAGTTCCAGTCCCTTGTCCACTTCAGCTGTCTTCCAACCACAAACTCACTCCATCCTTCTCCATCGTTCACACTGGACTTAAGCATCTCCATGCCCCTAGAGCTGCCCTAGATCCCCATTGCTAAGGCCCCCTAATTCACTGCCCCTCCAGGACTAGCCTATTACAAGACTGCTATCTTCTCCCATCTACGGTTCATCTACCTTCCCATCCTTTCATCCACATGCCTAATCAGTCATCCACTCCTCTACCCATCCAATCAACTAATCACCTACCATCCACCCCTCCAACCACCTATTCATCTATCCAAACACACACTCATCTATTCACAACCCACCTACATGCCCGTCCCTCCACCACTTAAGAAAATATTTATTTATCTGGAAAACCAAGTAAGCACCCAATCATCCCAATTCACATCCTTTCACTCTGCCACTCATTCATTCGTCATTTTCATGTTTGTTTATCTTCTCCACACGAGGACAAGGGTTCTGTGTTCATTGTTTCCCCACAGCCCAGCTCAGTTTCAGAAGATCTTAACAAATGTACACACAATATATATAATCACTTAATTAATTCAAATATTTATTTCCTACTATGAGCCAGGTCTTTTCTAAGTAGACATATCCATCCTGGTTACCTGCCTACCTAACTAGTCATCTATAGGTCAAACATCCAACAAATACTAACCTATTCACCTGCCTAATGTTCCACCCTACCCCTCACCCATGATTTAAAGGCCTACTAATTTACTCACCATTCACCCACAGAACTTCACATTTCCTTACCCTTCCTTCATCTGCCTCCCAGACTACGCTCTCCATGCCATGAGGGAGCTGGTTTGGGATTTGGGGTTTAGGAGAATTCTCTTATCTGGAGCCTGAGGATTAGGTAGGGAGGGTGGTATGGGATAAATGGGTTGTAGGATCCATGCCTCCTTGAGAAACAGGCACTGCCTATACCAATGATGAATACCTTTTTTTGAATACTTTTAGGGGTCTTCCACGGTGTAGGAGAACTTCAGATCCATTTTATAGACAATGAAATAAAGGCTTCTAGAGTGATGGCCTAAGGTCACATAGCTGGTGAGAATGTGCTTACATTTCCCTTCCATGAGACCTCAAATTAGGAGAGAATTTGGGAGAACTGAATGGGGGTGAGGGGTTACTCCGTGATTAGCAAACCTTAGGGACAAACAAACCACTGATTTTACTGAAATTAAGATTTTACTGGGCAACCTCATAGTGCCAGAGTGGTTGGTTGGCACCTACAGTGCCACTCTCCACTGTAGGTCACATAGGGCTAAAGGCAGGGTCAGATACCCTCCTAAGTCGGCTGTCTGCTCCCAGACCACATGGGATAGAGAATGGGCAGCTCAGGTGGTATCTCCATTGATGCAAGGTGCTTTGAGAGGCAGGGGCTGACTCCGTGACTCTGGTATCTTTGGACGAAATTGTAGGTTCTGAACAGCATCCCTCAGCTGGGCCTGAGTATGCTCCATGTCAGTCAGGCGGCGCTCCTGGGGAGGCAGTGGAGGTGGGTTTGTAGCCAGAGAAGGATTGATCTCCAGCCCTGGCTCCTTTCCAGCCCAGATCTTCCCCAGGGCTCCAGCAGGAGTCTTACCATATTTTTCAGCCTGTGACCCTCACTACTTGAAAGACCACCCTCTGGATTCGACTGCAATGCCCTGTAGGGGTCAGGGGCAAGGGGGAAAGAACAGAGGCTGAGAAGTCTCTTTCAGCTCTAGGTAGGACAGGAGACCTAGGGGGCGGGGCTTGAAGTGAAGGCAGGGTTTGTTTAGGCTGGAGGGTGGGGCCTAAATATGTCTGAAGAGAGGTCTGATCAGAGCTGGCATGGATAAGATGTGAAGACAGGTAATCAACGCCTGGAGGTGGAGATTGGCCCCTCCTGGGAGGGGTTGTGACAGGGTGGGAGAACCACCAGGCTAAGTGATCCCTGTCCTGGCCCAACCTGATTAAGAGGGACTGATTGAGGGGGGCGACCTGGAGAAGAGGACTTGTTAGGGGACTGACCACGCTGCAGAGGGGCGGGGCTGCCAGGGCCTGGACCTGTGGCTTGGGGACGTGTCCGTGTCCGTTCAAGGAGAGATTTGGGAGCCCTGAATGAAAGCCGAGCTTGGTCATAGTGGCTCAGGCTTGTAATTCTAGCGACTCAGGAGGCTGAGGCGGGAGGATCACAAGTTCGAGGCCATCCTCAGCAATTTAGTGAGGCCCTAAGCACCTTAGTAAGAACTTGTCTCAAAACAAAAAAATAAAAAGGGCTGCGGATGTGACTCAGTGGTTAGCCTCTGAGTTCAATCCCGGGTATGGGGGTGGGGGGGATGCGGAGCTTGGTGAGATCTCATTGGTGCGGCCCGATTGGAGGTGGAACTAGTGGAGAGGGCGGGGCTCACCTAGGACTGAGCCTAGAGTCTAGGTCCTGCAGCTGACACCGCAGCTGCTCCTGCTGCTCGGTCAAAGCTTGGATGTGGGTACTTAGTGATTCCACGAGGCGGGACAATGCTTTCTGCTCCTCGCGAAGCGCCGCCACTTCGCACTGTAGCTCTGCCAACTGTGGGGAGACAGCAGCTGTTATCTGAAGCGTCATCTCGTTTCTTCCTTTCCCCAGAGATCCTGATCTGCTTCCCCACGGTTCTGCCATATAACGTTCCTGTTATACGGAGGGAGAAACTGAGGCTCAGAGAGGGTTAGTCTGGCCCTGGAGTCACGAAGTGCCGCGAGCTTGGTATTTGAACTCAGTCTTGCCTGGCTTTCGGTCTTTCCTCCAGTCCCGTTCCTATCCACTCCCAGACCCCGCGCCCACATGGAGCTGGGCCAGACCTCACCTTGCCCACTGGGCGGTGCGAGCCCAGAGCCTGGTCTCGGTCCCGCGGCTGGTCCAGCTGGCGCTGCCAGGGCACCGATGGCTTCCGAGGCAGCGAGGCAGAGGCCCCCGTCCAGGGTCGGCCGCGGGGCGCGGGGCCGGCGTGCAGGGAGCCTTTGGGTCGCGGCCGGGGCCCGGCAGATGGACGGCGGCGGGCAGGGCGCCCGGCGGGGACGCTCTGGGTGCGCTGCACTTGCCGGGGGCGCCGCGGGGGGCGCTCCTCATCGGGTCGGGGCCGGGCCCAACTCCCTGCACCGTGAAAGCTGCGCAGAGACTGGCTCTTGGAGATGAGAGGGGTGTGCTTGGGGAGGTCCCGGGGGGCCAAGAAGCCGGGCTTCTCCCCTGCGGAGAAACTGGGGTGCCATCGAGAATCTCAGACCCTCAACTAGCCCCTGAAATGACCCCTGCCCATTGGCCAGAAATGACCCCATCCCTGTGACCTTGTCCCCAAAGATCATATTTTAACCTATGACCCTAATGAGACCCTATCCTTGATTTCTGACTACATTCTGTCATCTCTATGACTCTTGACATAACCTTTCCTCTCTTTCTAGCCTCTCCCCTGACCTCTGACACTTGTAATCCTTGATCTGATCCTTTCCATTACCTCTGATTACATTCTGATCCTGGGTTTGACCTCTGCTTACAAGGGCACCCTCTTCCTTAGCAATGTGGCCCCATCTTCTCCCCAACAAATGTTACGCTGATCCTGTTGTTCCTGTTCATTGGTAGAATATGATCCCTGACCTTGAACCCAAATATGACCCTGCCCATAATGCCTGACCTCATCTGACCTAAGCCTGACCTCTGCTTACAATATGAATCTGCCCTGACACTTGATGACTATGTTCTAACATCTGATCTCAAACCAACCCCTGATTTTACCCCCTCCACAACATCTGATTGAAAAGCGACCTTAGATCTCTGATTGCAAAGTCACTCTCTCTCTCTGACATGAGGTGACCTCTCTCTGCCCTCCGACATGACTCTATCCTCACCTTATATTCAATCTGACTCAGTGACTAGCTGCCCTCTACCATATGTGAGCCCCCCACCTCTGGCCTCTGTCCATTCTGACACTGTCCCCACCATGGTCCTGCCCCACGATCCCTGTGATTTTCACTTGTGACCCCCCCCCCCCCCCAGTGTGAGAGCCCTGCCTCTGCTCCCAACCATCATAACCCAGACCAGACTTGAGGTTACCTGGAATGGACCTGGGGTGATGGAAGACGCATTGGCACAGATACAGGGACAGGCTGGCCCTCCTCGATGGCCCTCAGGATGGTGGGCAGTGGTTCCAAGCTGTCACGGGTTGTCTGGTGAGGCATGCAAGGAGGATGTTAAGTGAGCTTCTGGAGCCAGAGTCTCCCAGGCTTTTTGCCTTCCCAGGGCTTTGTGCTCAGGTCACACCTGGTCAAGCTCAGCAAAGATCGTACAGAGCTGCGCATGCAGGACTGCCAACTGGAGAGCCAGGTCGCTACTGCCTTGGTAGCCACTGGGTGCAGCATTCACATCCACCATGGCCACCTGGTCCAAGAAGTGTTGCATAGCTGGTCCATGATCTTCCAGGAAGGTATTCATGAAGCCCATGTAGGCTTCCTTCTCACCAAACCTAAATCAGAGCCAGGCTGGATGAGTCAGGTCAGGCATCTTGCCACCTTGTGCCCCCAGCATGGCCTCCCAATCTCCCAGCACCTACGGGGCACGGTTGGCGAGGTTCTGGATAACTTTGGCGATCAATGTGAGGGTGCGAGCTGGACCAGGTGCTGGGTGCTCTGGTGCCAGGCCAAAGAGGCTGGGTGCCAGGAGAGCAGGGCATAGGAGCCTCAGGAAGAGGGAGGCACACACTAGTCGGGGGCCCAGTGCCTCGGAGCCACGTGCTTTGCATGCTTCTCTCCAGCTTGAGAAGACAGTGCCCAGCTCTGACGGGAACCAGCTAGGGCAGAAGAGATAATAGTCAGAGGAGGCAGCTATGGGCATAAAGGTCCTGGATGGTTAAGGTTATAAGAGCAGGGGTCATACATCAAAGGAAGCATTGCATGGCTTGTCTATGATCCCCCAAGGAGCTACTCATGAAGCCATGTAGGCTTCCTTCTCACTGGGGTCCAGGTACCAGGATTGAGGATTTAATGATACTTGGGGTTATAAGTCCCCATAAGGTCAGTACTTATAGTGTAGTTGTTATGGCAACCTCTGGAATCAGTACTCTTGGATTTGGTATCCTGGATCACATAGGAACAAAGTTCATGTGCTTGAGATGTAGTTATAATTGGAGATGAGACTGAGGTGTCAGAGTATATGATATGAAGTAGGATGGGATTAGGGTTACAGGGCCACTTAGAGTCAGATGCCATGGGATTTAAGCACCAAAGTTAAGCTAGAGTCAGAAGTAGTCAAGGGACAGGAATCCCAGGTTTCCTGTGTTCAGTTTTATAAGATTTGGGATACAGGGTGACTTAAAGTTGGAGAGTCATGGGATTAGGGGTATGCATCATCTGGAACCAGAAGTCATAGGATTGAGGTTTCCTGTTAACTAGGGTCAAATGGCATGAAATTGGGGTATGGAACCTCCTCAAGGTTACCTGGGGTCAGGTGTCATGGAATTGAAGATATGGTTGACAGACAGCCAATAAAATTTCAGGACATTCTGTTAAACTTGACTTTCAAATAAATAACAAGTAATTTTTCTAGTGTAAGTATAACCCAAATATTGCATCAAATTTAACTTAGTGTCCTAAATTTCGTCTGGCAGCCCTAACAGGAGGGTTGAAGTTATCACAGTGGCTGAGTGGTGGGGAATGGGGTGGGCTCAGGTGCTGGGTCCTTGATTCTTACTCATAGGAGTGAATGATGGTTTCAAAGACCTCCTCACAACTGCTTCGAAGTCTGGACTGGTGCTGGGGCAGCTCTGATGCTGGGCACTTGCTGGGGTCCACCTCACAGTCCTCAGTGGAGGCACAGAGATGCTGAACAACCTCCCCTGAAGATAGGAAGAGCCAGATAAAGTCCAGGGTCATTATGACCCAAACTCACTGCACCCAGCCTTCAACCCATCTCTAACTTACTCCAGAGGCATCTAACATCTTGAGGAGTTTCCATTTCCCCCCAGGATACTAGCACCCCCAAAGAACCACCAGAATCCAGGCTACCCAGGGCCTCCTACATCTCTTCGGGTCCCTTAGCCCACCCAACAAGCCTTTAACACTAGCTGCTCCCCTCCCCAGCTCACCTAGGGTCTTCTGGAGGTAATCCTGGGCCACTAGCTTCATGTACTCATCAATGGCCTTGGTGGCTAATGTGTTTTCTCGGAACAGCAGTGCCTCACGGCCTCCACAGCGTGCGAGCTCCGCAGTGCCCAGGTCTGTTACCAACGCCTGGATAAGGCAGGGGTCAGTCACGTTGTGCAGACTGAGCCGGGGTAATCTTGGCCCTAGACCCCGATCTTCACACCATTCTTCATTCTTGCCCTTCCTTGTTGACTGCTCACTCCTCACTTTTGGGGCTCATAGCTGAGACCAAAACCTCCACTCCTCACGGCAAAAACAAGCCCTGTATTACGGAGGCTCTGCTCAGGCTCCGCCTCTCGCAGCTGAAGTTCAAGTCCTGCCCCTCACAGATGCTCAGGCCCCGCCCGAGATTCTCGTCCCTTACTAGTACTGCTCAGGTTTCGCCTCCCCACTCCACTATCTGTCCCTAGGTTGTCCCGGTCCGCGCAGTCGTAGCGCCTCACCTGCGCCCGGCCGGTGGCCTGCAGCACGCGCACCATGGCGGCTGCCAGCTCCTCCTTGGCCTGCGCAGGCAGCGCGGGCTCGAGCGCTCCGCAGAGGCGCGCGTAGTGGAAGGTGAGAAACTCCGCCAGCTCCTTGTAGCGCTCCGACGGCAGCACCCGTAGGCGTCTGGCCCGGATTCGCGCCCGCAGGGCCGCACCCGCTGGCTGCCCCAGCAGCGGGAACCAGCGCTCCAGTCCCGCCGCGGGCGCGCGGGGAGCGCTCAGCTCCTCCAGATTCAGCGTCACACGGCCCAGATCTGCTCCCGCTGAGCCTCCGCCGCGAAGCCTCAGTGACAGCCGACGGGCCGGTGGCAGCGCCTCGAAGTGGAAGCGCTCGGCCCAGAAGAGCTGGCCTGGGCCAGCCCGCGGTGCGGTGCGCGCCAGCAGCGCGCCATCTAGCCACAACTCGGCTCGCACGCCCGATGGCCCAGCCGCTCGGGGCAGCCCCTTCGCCTCGTGCACCCACACGCTCAGCCACGTCTCTTCCCGCTCCACGTTGTCCTGTGGGCAGGAACCAGGAGGCAGAGTGTTTCGGAGGCCTCAGCGCTCCAAGTTGGATAAGCGGGAGAAGCGCGGAGCGTCCAACGCTGTGCGCCCTGCCCTAAGGAGATTGCTGGCCCTTGGGAAAAAGCGTGGGGCCTCGGGGGTCCAAGATAACTAAACAGAAGGTTCTAGCTTTGGGAGGGGTTGCGGTTCCCGGAGAGATCGGGGCTCCATGATATAGAGGAGTAACGGGTAGGTAGGGTTTTGGACGCAGATCGTGCCAGGATGAAATAGAGGGGCTGTCTGATCTGTTGCTGGCTGGTGCCATCATAGATGGAAAGGTTGTGAAGGTGTGGGCGAGGGTGTTTCAGGGGAGAGAGTTTGGATCGCGCAGCGTTTGGGTAGAATGGAAGGGGCGCGCCCGGGGCCCATGGGCAGGGTCTCCATGTCCAGCTTTTCTCGGGCAATGAATGACCTGACTGGGCTGGAAGTGGCGACGAAGATCTTCAATCCAGCGATCTCTCTCAGCGCCCGAGCGACAGGAGAAGCAGCGGCTACCGCCCACCCACGTTACCTGTTGGGGCAGGGGATCCAAGGGCGTGGTTGAAGCCAATGGTGGCGCCAAAAGGTCGGGGGTGGGACGCAGGGGGAGGATGGCTTGCACTAACCTGGAAACAGTAGGGCTCTCCCAGGAGGCTGGGGTGCAGTGGCCAGACCCGCACCTCCCGTTCGGCACCCAGGTCCAGCTCAGAGAGTGTGGCCAGTGATTCTTTAGAGCCCATAGTACTGGGGGATGGGGGGGGGGAGAAACCCATGAGCAAGCATCATTCCTCCCTTCCCTCCACACCCACCATAGCCTGAAGGGTAGAGGAAGGCCAGGAACTTGAACTTAAATTGGATCCTGTTCCTACCCTGTCTCAAGGTGGCCTGCATGACCTCAGAAAGACCAACCCTTGTCACCCTCTTTCTGAACTCCACAGTTGGCCTTGTTTTTTGATCCTTTCTGCCTCTTAGCCTTTGCACTTGCTGTTCCTTCTGCTTTTCCCAACCCTTGGCCTAACTTTCAACCAAGGTGTCAGCTAAAGTGTTCCTTCCCTGACCCTCACAGACCAGGGTCTTGACTTGGCTCCATTTTAGAGCTCACCCCAACCCTTCAACCAAAAGCAGGCTCTGTGTCAGGATATTTATGGCCCCAGCATCATGTGACCTGGGGCAGAACACAGAGGAAGGGATAGGAGGTGTTTAGGGAAGGTGGGATTGATAGGTGCTGGGGGACACATATTGAACCCCAGGCCCTCTGCCCGCTCCAGCCCCTCAGAGACCCTTACCCATCCCTGGAGGTATTGGCTCCCAGCTCAGACCTGGCCTTTTTCTTCTCTTTCAGCCTCTTGAGCAACCCCTGGGGAGAGGTGGACATCAGCTGGGAAGAACTCTGTGCTTCCTTCTCAGCTCTTTCCCTCCCAGATGTCCTGGAGGATCTGCTGGTCTCAGTGGACTCACACCAAACCCAGGCTGTATTACCAGCAATAATAAAGACAACCAGCAGCTTGCATTTCTAAAGCATCCACCATCAGCTTTTCTGCATTCTCTATTGACTCCTTGTAAACAGACCCAAGAGGAAAATTCTCATTATCTCTATCTGATGGATAGGGGGACACAGAGACCCATAGAGGATCAGCGACCTACACCAGATCAACCAGTAAAAGTGCCCCTTCAGCTCTGAGGGTTTCGGAGTCCTTGCTCACCCCTGCCCGCACTCCCCTCTTCCCACTGGCTGCCTCACCCGAACATTGTGGACCTGGTTGGAGCCAGCAGCCTCTGGCTCTGCCTTTCCAAGGGTCCGATCTGTGGGTAGTCAGAAGTGGCAGTTTAGGGCTTGGAATCATTTTAGTCTGCCCCACTTTGAGAGGCTCCCAAATACCCGAGCCTTCCCCGCCTCTCAAGAGACTTACCTGCATCCCTGAGGTTTCCCATGGCCACTTGCATGCTGCCTTCTGAGCTGGCACTTCCCACCCTTGGCCGGCGAGGACCCTGTTTTCCCACAGGAGCAGGCAGTGAGAAAGTGGAGGGAGAAAGGCAGAGGAAGGGGCAGTATGCCTTTCTCTCCCATGCCAACCCTATTTTGTCCCTTTCCCTCCTTCCCTCCCTTTGCCCACGTGCCCTCTCTCACTTCCTCCTCGCCCCCGAGCAGCACCAGCCTTCCATCAAGCAGGGTGAAGCCCCCAATATCCCAGACAGGCACATCAGGGGTGGGGGCCTCCGGGATCTGTGGGACATGAGGCTCCGGCTCTGGATCTGGGAAGAGAAGGAGGTGCTAGATGACTTAGTCATTTCTTCTCCCTCCGGTCACCGTCTCCATGCACCAAGGCTCATCAGCGGTCCCCTCTTAGGTGCACTCTCTGATAATCATGTCAGGCATGCATCTACCACTCTCTTGTCCTTGTCCCCCCAAACACACAGCCCACCCGCTTGCCCAGGTGACACAGTTTGTGAGTGGCCAAGCCAGGCTACAAACACAGCATTATTTTCTTAACCAAGGTAGTGGGTAGGTTCAAGAGGCTAAAACACAGGGGTTGGTGTTGTAGCTCTGTGGTAGAGCCCTGGCCTAGCACATGTGAGGTACTGGGTTTGGTCCTCAGCACCATATAAAAATTTAAAAAAAAATCACTAAAAAAGGTTAAACAGGACAGAATCCATGAGTCCTTATACAAATAAGTCTAAGGTGGAAAGATTCAAAGTTTGAGAAAGAACAGAAAAACCTCAGGGTAGGGGGAAGTCCCTTTCTTGGGGAAGGGGAGGTAGCAGTCAGTGGGTCAGGAAGGCTTCCCAGAGAGAATAAGCTCATGGTAGGTCTTGAACAAAAGGCTAGATTTTGGTAAGCAGAGATGAGGGAAAAGGTGGCAGGAACATCTTGAGCAAAGACTGATGATGAGCACAGCCCAGAGACACAGAGGGGAGGGCTCGGAGGCAGGAGGAGAAAGCCCAGGAAGAGATGGGAGCCAGGTCTTGGGTGGAGGTTTCCCTGTTGGAGGAACTAGGGTTTTATTCTAAGGGTAGTAGAGACCCATGAGAGGTGTTTGAGCAGATTTGCTTGTTGGAGTGCTTTCTCTGGATCCTATGCAGTGAACAAGCCTTGACATCCCGGGAGGAGACGCCTCTGCAAACTAGAAATATGAATAGAGAGATTTAACTGAGCTCCCAGTAATAGAAGAGTAGAATCAGCCCTGTCAAATGACCGCCTGCTCCCTTGCTTTACCACTAGGGGCAACAAATGATAACTCCTACTTATTAATGGATCACTTACAATATGCTGGGCTGGGCTTGTGCCACATTCCTGAGCTCTAATCCTCATGATATCCATTACCTTCTAGATCCCTTGGCACAACACTTGGAACCATCTGTCATTTTTTTGTTGACCTTTTTTTTTTTTTTTTTTTACTGTCTGTCGCCTCCACCCACCACCACCACCACACTGTGGGCTCCACAGGGCAGGGAATGTCATCTGCCTTGTTCACTTGTGCATCTTAGTGCCTCAGCCGGGGACTGGCACATGATCCATGCTCAACAAACGCCTGTCTGAATGAATAAATGGAGGGATGAATATGAATGAATGAAACACTGTGACCTTCAAGGTGGAGATCATCATTTTCCCGCTGAACTAATGGGGAAGTGGAGGCTCAAAGGAGACCAAGAGACACAGGTAAGACTCAAGGCTGGAGATCAGAAGGCAGAGGAGGTGGGTATCCAGGCAGAAGAGACCATTGAATACAGGAGAGACCTGTTGGGGCTGAGAGCCATTTGGCATCTGGACAGTACTCATGTGCTCTGCTCCCTCTCCTTTCCTCAGTCTGAAGCCCCTGACATAGGTCCTTGGCAACTCTATGTCATCCCTCTTTAGGTGAAAAGAGGGAAGAGGGCTGCCGGCCCCAGTCACTTCCTGCTGGGCTTCTGCACTCCCCACAACTTCCTGTGTCTAGAGGGCTGATGCTCTGGTGGCAGACAAAACCCAAGCATCCGGCCACCCAGCCCTGCCCAAGTTCAGGGTGGGGGGAAGCATGTACCTGGGGCTTCTGGCTCCAGCTCTGGCTCCTGCGGTGGGTTCTTATGTCTTCCCCAGAGGGTCCTGGATAGCCTGAGGCGACTGGTCCGTGACTCCTTGGGGGGTGCAGAGAGGACCCGACGGAACAGCAAGCGGGGGGCTGGCTGGCTGCTAATCATGGGCTCCTGGTGGCTCAGTGCTCTTCCCCAACCAACGAAGCGGCCCCAGCGGAACCCACCAGTCCCCTTCTCCCCTCCACCTCCTGTGTGCCAGCGGTAGGATGTCGGCAGAGGTGGGGCAGCGGGCTGGGTTTGGGAGCTCTGTCTCGGTGACTCCATGGTGGAGGCTCTCCTGTAGGACTAGAGAGAGACAGTGCTGCCCAGTGTCTGCCCACATACTTTCCGCATCTTGACTGCCCCTCGGTTCTCAGCTCTACCTCCAGATAACCCACTTGGGGGGCCACATGTATTATCCCTCTTACCTTGATTTCCTGGCCAGCCCCAGAATCAGCAGCTTTCTGCACCCTGCCTGGCTTCCTCCCGCTGAACCCAGGTCCACGTGACCCTGTCTGTCCCACCCCACACCACAGCCAGGCTGGGAGGGCACAGAAGGGGCAGGATGCAGGGGCGGGGATGGAGGGTAGGTGGCAGAGGGAAGGCAGCAGAGTACATTTCTGGCAAGAAGGTCCCAGAATCCCTCACTGACCGGAAGGCAACACATGCTCCTCTCCCTGAAATTCAGTTGGCTTTCTGCAAAATGGGCACATGCTGAATAAATGTTGGTAAGGATATGGAGCACTGAGAGTTCTCATCTGATGCTAGCCAGTGTAGATTGATTCACTCATACTGGAAAAATGTTTGGCATGATCTCCTTATAGAAATGGGAAAAAGTTCTCTCTCTCTCTCTCTCTCTCTCTCTCTCTCTCTCTCTCTCTTTTTCCTTTGGCATGATGCTTGGCAAGCGATATGTGACTGAGCTATACTTCCAGCTCCTCCCACCTTTTAAAATTTTAATTTGAGACAGGGTTTTGCTAAGTTGCCCAGGCTGGCCCCAAACTTTTCCATTTTCTTGCCTCAACCTCCAGAGTAACTCTGATTACAGATGTGCACCACCATGACATTTTTTGTTGTTGTTGTTCCTTAAATGGAAGTGAAATTCATGTGACACACGTTTAACATGTTCTAGTTTTTGAGCTCAGTGCTGGTTACTTGGGTGTGTTCTGTTGTGAAAATTCGTCAGGTTACATGGTTTGGTGCACTGTCCTGTATCTTACGCTTCAATAAATGTTTACTTGAAAATGGGGGCAGAAAAAAAGCTGTTATGATAAATGAGTGAGTCAGCATCACTATGGCCCAGAAGCTGGACAGGGGTGGGTTTGAGTGCCAGCTGGTCCCTCTCTCGCTGTGTAACCTCAGACAAGTCACTTCCTTTGTCTGAGCCTCGGTTTCCTTATTTGTACAAGATGATAATATCAGTTTCAAAAGGTTCATCATGCGAGCCTTCGTTTATTTGACAAATGTTTCCTGAGTGCCTGCTGTGTGCTAGGTACTGAAGAAGCCACTGGGAACTACATGAACTTGGTTCCTACTCTCCTGGAGCTCCCAGTATATTGGGGGATACAGATAATGAATGCAAATAGAGGATGTTTCTCACTGGTGAGGTGGACTTGGTGGGAAATAAGGCTGAGCAGCAGTGATGCTCTTTGAACTGGAAAAATTCAGGAGGACTTCTCTGTTCTTTGCGATATCTTTGCAACCTGAAGCATAAAAGAAATTAGAAGATCATACCAAGGAAAAGCAACAGTTTGTGCAAAGGCAAAGATAACAAGAATCCATGGAGTGGCAGGTGGGCATAGTAGTGCATGCCTGTAATCCTAGCAACTCTGGGGGTTGAGGTGGAGGGTCTCAACATCAAGGCCAGTGTAGGCAAATTAGCAAGATCCTATCTCAAAGTAAAAAGGGCTGGGAATGCAGCTCAGTGGTAGAGCATTTGTTTAGCATGTGTGAGGTCTTCGGTTCAATGTCCAGTACTGAAGAAAGAAGAAAAAAAAAAAAAGAATCCATGGAGCAGGAAAGACAGGACTGACTCCATGGGTATATGGTCCTGGATGGTCACAAAGGACCCCAGACACAGAAAGGTCCCATGCTTAGTTTAACACTTTGCTGTCATCATATTGAAATGCTTACTTTGAACAGGAGATCTTATATTTTTATTTCACACTGGGCCTTGAAAACTCTGTAGCCCTCTCTGAACAGGAGGGTCTTTTTTTTGTAATTATTTTAAATTAATTAATTAACTTTTAGTTTTTGGTACTGGAGTTTACCACTGAGCTACGTTAAAACTTTAAAAAATATTATATTTATTTATTTTGGGGTACTGGGGCTTGAACTCAGGGACACTCAACCCCTGAGCCACCTCCCAGCCTTATTTTGTATTTTATTTAGAGACAGGGTCTCACTGAGTTGCTTAATGCCTCGCTTTTGCTGAGGCTGGTTTTGAACTCGTGATCCTCCTATCTCAGGCTTCCGAGCCTCTGGGATTATAGGCATGTGTCACCACACCTGGCTAAAATATTTTTTATTTGAGACAGCGTCTTGCTAAATTGTTGAGATTGACATTTGTGATCTTCCTGCCTCAGTTTCCTGAATCATGAGGATTACAGGCATGCACCACTATACCTGGCAATTATTTTTATTTTTAAATTTTATTTATTTATTTTGTGGTGCTGGGAATCAAACCCAGGGCCTCATGCATGCTAAGCAACTGCTCTAACACTGAGCTACACTCCTGGTCCTATCTTTATTTTTAACTGATAAATTGTAATTGTATCCATTTGTGAAGTACAATGTGATGTTATGGTATATGTGCCACGTGGAGTGATTAAATCAAGGTGGCGGGGGGTGGGGGGGGGCGGGGGCTTTAGTGAGAGCCAAAGACCCTTCTTCTGGAGCTGGATGTATTTATGCACGTGTACATACACCTCAGATATGTCCACCTTAGACATGTCATTCAGACCACACTCACACCACTCACTGTACACGTGTCAAGACTGTGTCCCACCACATCATCTGGGCCTTTACTCTTCTACTGCACACCAGCCCCATTCCCAGCTCCCAATACCCTGCATTTTTTGCTGGAGGATTTTCTCTAGCAAACTGAGACTAATTCACCCAGGGGACAAGCATTCCAAAAGTGCCATCAAATTAATACTTCCTCTTTGTCAATGACCCTCACCTCTTGGGTGGGATAACTCTGAGATATGTGTCCTCCACTGTCCCCCAGTGGGCTTAAACCTTGGTTGCTCACAGTGGAAACTTGCTAGAAAACACATCTCTTCCTGGTTACTTCTCCTTCCCTGCTTTGCTTTCTCATTCTGCAATTGATATGTCCTGAGATAACCCCCCAATCAACCATTTGTACTAGATTTCTTTCTTTCTTTCTTTCTTTCTTTCTTTCTTTCTTTCTTTCTTTCTTTCTTTCTCTCTCTCTCTCTCTCTCTCTCTCTCTCTCTCTCTCTCTCTCTCTC